TAGGTCCGAGCGGCCTCTGTGAATACTCGAAACATTCCGCATCGAATCCTTAATCCTAATAAAAATACATAATGTTATGGTAATAATTGAAATATAGCGGTGATGAATGGAGCAATGATCTCTACGACGTAGCTCCACGGGACGGAGGCGCCTCTTCTAGTCGTAACTTGCATCTCCGACCGACTAAGCTCTCGACAGCGAACATTTACTTCCATCAAAATGAACTCGCACTCTCGCCGTCGACACCTCTTGTATAAAAATAAAAACCTACGGGAGGCTCAGGCTGCCCACATCGTAAATCCTCCGTTCGAGGATGGATAGATTCGTATATTAGAACCTCGTATTCGGAGCGGGTCTCCGAGTCATCGCAGTCAGCTCGTTCGGAGAGCTGGCAATAACTTTTTTAAGCGCTCGCAATCAGCTCTCCGAGTCCGCTCGCAATGAGTTCTTCGGTCGGTTCCGGGGCAGCCGTGCCGAATGGGACCGCCTACCGACGAATGCGGCAGACTTCCTCGCGGATCGGGAGTTTATTCAATTCGTGGAGAAACAGCATTCCCCCCACTCGTCGCGTTGAGAGTAGGAGGCTGGAGCTTGATGCAGTTATCCAGTCCGGAGGACGCTCGAGCGACGTCCGAGAACCAGACTGAGTGGGAGCGCATCCAAACTCAGTGAGACCGAGAAAACAACACAGCCTCTCTGTCGGTCCCCAGTATATCGAATCGCCCCTCGGAATCCCCGAAGACGTCTCCGGGCGATTGCCTGCTCAGCAAACAACCAAACAGTGGAATGGCTGACCACCATGTTGCTTCCTTCATCTTCCCGTGAACGTCCACCGGGAAGACGAAGTCTTCGGAGCATCCCTATGCGGACCAATGAGGTAACGAGTGATGCTGCCGCTACCTTGCCGCTTCCTCTCGCTATTGGTCTCTGCTGTGTGTATTAATTTCCCGAACGTGCGATGCGCGTCGCAATTTCGCCCGGGGAATTCCTTCACTCCCCGATGGACGGTCCGGGATAAATGAAAGCTTCAGCGCTTGTGTGATAATCACGATCCTCCTTTTTGTTTGGTGATCGCGACGTTTCTCCCGGGGAAGCATCGCGTCTCGTCTGATAGCTACTCCTGAGTTACGCAGCTCCTGACGATGACTCCATGTGATTTTTTCCGAGAGTCTGCCGAGACCAGGCATCGGAACCTGGAAGGCGAAAGATGGAAATTGTCAATTTAGAATAGTTCTAGGAGGAGGAGCTGCTCTGAGCCTCCACGGACGAATCCCCGCAAAACGGTCGATGGTCGTTCCTCTGACCTGAGTGACCTATCCGTCAAAAAAGGAGCCGGCGAAAATCGACCGGTATATTTCAATGACGGAATCGGGGGCAAAGTTACCAAGAGGAAATTGCGTCAAGCATTTCGTGGATTCGATTGCCTTCCCTCCCTTTGAACCGGACTGTGCGTCTGCCGGTTCGGAAATAGGCCCTCGAGCTCCAATTCGAGAACGTATCTGATCATCGGTTCCCTGCCGCTCATGTCTGCTCTCGATTCGATCGTTGTGCGTCGCGAACACCGGAAACGGCGCTGGACCAAAAGGTTGCGACAACAAATGCGCCGGCCCGCTCCCTAACGATTATTTATGGGAAGATTTCATGAATAATATGCGCGTGTAGGCAAGGATTAGCAGCTGCTATCGTCTATGGTACTCTCCACGCGTTCGTCGATGTTGGCGGGGTTTGCTCTAGGCTCTATCATGGAATTTTCCAGGGGAGAAGCACGTCAGACACTCCGAGCAAAGGGCGAGCGATTCAGAGCTCTCTCCAGGAGGTCCGAGGCCGGAAAAATGTCTCTTTTGAGAAAAGTCTCCGTTCCCATGCTTCTCTGACTAAAGTCCGGGACCATAGGATCGGAGCAATGTGTGCCAATGCCACTGTTTCCCTCTCAGAATTCCACCAAGGGGAACACTCGCTCTCGTTCTGGGCAGTCAACCCACGGGTTATGCACAGTTCCTTGAGCTCGCCACCTTGACGGAATTTAGGGGGAGGCTCGAGTCACTTCACGGTTCACCGTGCTCAGGGAAAACTTCGGGCTCTACTGACCCTGCCAGCCTGCTAACTCTTTGTTGCCCTTTCTCGTTGCCTATGTTGCGCCCGCTGCGACAGTGCTCGCAGATCTCATTGTCTCCGTGAGTTCTTCTTATTAACAGCCCTCAGCAAGAGCAGACGAAGGCGGGAGACTCACTGTAGGAACGAGGGTCGAGCAAGATAGAGAACTCGAGCTCTCCGTGGAGTTGGATTGCGTAATCCTCTCGTAGTCTCGACTCCACTCGAGCATCACTAAACCAATGCGGGGTTGTCCGGGCGCTCTTACAGCCACACGGGGAGAGGTCGGCGTGCGATGCGCCGAGGGTTCATGGCGTGCTCCGAACGATTTTTGTTGCGTTTGACGGAAAGGGACCTCAATTTTCCGCTCTTAAATAAAACACGAACACAATGCTTGTCTTCGATAGGTACCTATTTGCATGTGGCTCGTTTATGGCCTCGTCTGACATAATCTGAGTGAATGCGACTCGCCGCCGCCTCGCTTATTGAGCGTCGGAGGTGCGTGAAGCCACCCGCTCGTCTTCTCCAAGTCAGCTGGGGGAGCGTAAAAGCACGCGCTCCGATCATGACTGCGTTTGAGCGCCTCCTGCATAAAACTCAGGCTCTGCACGTGCCAAACATAGTATCAGGGGGTCGGCAAGAACCTTCTTCGAGCGAAATAGGAGCCCCAAACGGCAAGCAGCTGGTGCGCGGGAGCCTCGCGTTTAGCTCCCTCTTATGTAATATCGATGGTCGAAAAATCGAGCCGGCGGGCAGCTCCCCAGGTCCTTAGAATCGTCCTGCAAGGTTGTCCTCTGCTCTCGAAACGTAGTTTCCGGGAGGGAAGGCAGCAGCAGGTGGTGCCCCCACCGGAATGGGAATCGAACGTCGCGTCGGGATTCTCTCTGCTTCGGACGTTATTAAGCTACAGCCAGCTGTTCCACGCTCTATGTGTTTGGGACGATAAAAAACTCAGCGCTGCTCGACGAAGAAATGGGCAGAAGGAGCTCCTCGGCATGTCCTCTAACGAGATTGTTTTGAATCCACAGAAGACTACATTCCGGTTATCTACGCTTCGTCGCATGCACCCCCGACGCGGAGGCCATTCAGGAACACCAGAATCCGCCGACGACGATTTCTGGATAACGATTACGTAGATCTTGAGAGCGTGAGTATATAGATAGCATATCTCGTATGTCGGGCGGGCGCCTCGCGTGATGCCTCGTATTAGCGTTTAGTCGATTACGGTAGTGAGGTAGCTAGTGAGCTTTGGATTTCTCCACGGGGGATCGGTAGCTACTCCTTAGCGTATCTAGCCACAACTACCGTCCCCAGCGTGTTGCATGAAAATCAGACCTCGCCGAACAGCCGCTAGTTATTCCGGCGACGACAAGGCGATTCATCAAGAGCCTTCCGCGAGACTGAGGCTTGTCGGGGAATCTGGCTTCGATCTTTTGCCCCCCCTCCTCCTCCGCTCCTCGGAAGGCAGTCTGCTCCGAGAATTCGGGATTTAATTTCCCGCAGGGTACACGGCCGCTCGGAATCGAGACTGGTGAGGACAGACTGTGTTCGCAGGGTCTTCTACCGAGAACGTCCTATATCCGTCCCGTTCATGGGTTCAAGCTCTTGCCGATGGTGACAGGAGCCTCTTCATACGCTCGGAGGAGTCGACAGAGCGCTAACCTTGGGTTCCTCATTGGTTCCCGCATGGAATTGCTGTCTTGGGAGCAGAGAAGTTTAATTTTCTCCGAGGATCCGAACCTCGCAGCAAAAACAAGGCGTTTGCGCTTGACGAAAGAGTATCGCGATGGATTTCATAAAAGAGCAAGGTACACGTGTCATGTTTCCCATGCGCGCTCTCGCTCGTTCGTTTCTATGGCGTTCCCGGCTCCGGCGCTCTAGTCCCTGCGAGGATGGGACGATCAATTTGTGCAACTTTTCTCTCTGATTCGGAGATTTCGAATCAGCAGCCTCGGATCTCATTAGGGCGCATAACTTTCCCGACAGCGCTTTGCTTCGACGTAACAATGTATCCGCGTAGCAGGTCGGGCTGGGTCTTGTAACAGGTCGTCATGTGTCTGACGGAATTACAAGCATTCCGCCGACACACAAAAGTTTCAGATCTCATCCTCGGCAGCCTGAATAAAAGCTGTCCCTTTCAATCTTCCATGCTTCCCCTTCGCGCCGGAATATTCCGGCAACTCCGGTCTGTCCGAGTTTTTTTCGCTCCGTTGGAGTAGTCGGCCGCTTGAGTCTCAAAGTCTCAAGAAAGCCACGTCCCCCGCCTCCAACACTTCCCTGTCATCAATGAGGCCGCGCGGTTTACTTTGGAGTGAACAGAAGGCAGAAGATCAATTGTCTATCCATCACTTGAGCACTAGCGGAAGCTCGCATCTCATTCGTTGCCGGAGATGGATTGGTGGGAAACCGCGGGACGAGCGTGGAATCCGACAAGCAAAAACGTCCGAGCCTCGAGCGGAACTCAGCCCTTGCCTGAATTTGCGTGGAATGCTTGTTGATCCGCAATTTGATTATCCCGCGAAGTTTGTCAACTAGTCCTTGAGGAGTTCCAGAACGATTGGCGCCCCTCGTTCTGCCGTCAAGTTTTCGTGAATGGAACGGTGGACAATTTCAGAGGGGGAGCGAAAGAAATGCCACTTGAGCTGCCGAGAAGTTCGTTTACCCTGCCTCTCGACACAACCTTGGGATGTCTCTCCCCCGAACAGAAGTCTTTCTCGCTGCTGGCATCGAGCTTCGAATCTGAAGCTTCCAGAAACGGGTAGCGGTCCCGTACCGGGGGTTCCGTCTCGCTCGATCAATTGACTCATTCATCCATCCATCCATCCATCCATCCATCGAGGACGTGTCGCTGGCGTACACGGACGGTCAGACGGACTGACGTTACCGGTGGTCATCTGTGACCGGGTGCAATGTTTCTCAACATGGATTTGGTTGCGTACCTCCTCGACGATCTCGGACGCTTCGCTCTGAATGGGACGATTTTCCTCGTCGGTGCTCGCATCGTATACTGGATAGTAACCGTGATTTGGTTGATGATTACCCTCAGTGAGCTCGCTGCTGCGAGCGAGAGGCTCGAAACCCGAGCTCGCATCACGTGGCACAGACACGATACCCTGCAACCACGCTGGAGTTGACATCCGGATCTGTACATAAGTGTGTGGAGCGCTAGATGATACGGTGGAACGTAACGGATGTTTTCGGTTCGTCGCTTTCAAAGGCGTTTCGTGAAGTGGTATCTGTTCTATTCATTATTCTGTTCGTTATTTCTGGAAGCATTGGTGTAAGGCTTGCACGCTCAGAAAAATGCAAGGACCCGCTCGGAAGATTTCACGGCTTGCTTTTTCGCAAACTGAGCGAAATCTGGGTGGCGGACTGATGCCCATGGAAGTTTCCCTAGAGTGGTCTTTAGTTTTCGATGCAAGCGAAACCAGACAAAATCACCTACGAGCGGAAACTGCTCCAAGATGGAAAAACTTTGGAGAATTGCGAAACTGTTTTCGGCACAACACGCGTGTTCGCTGTGGAACCTCGACCCTACGACTCAACGAACGACCCCAACCGCGGAACCCTTCTCTCCAGAATATTCCTCTGAACTTGAGTAATTTGTCCCGAGGCATCGATCGGTCAATGGAAACCATGGAGTACGAGAGAAATGAATAAAAGCTCTTACTACACCAAGCGCGAGTTCCCCCGGAGCTGTCTTCCTTCGGCCCGAGCGAAACCGACTAAGTACTCACGAATACGGATGTATCTCAAGCTTAACTCGTCGAATTCGGGCCGGCATTGATCACAAACTTCGAGCTCTGCCGTGTCTCGACTCGTTCTGTACATTTGACTGTTGAATATGTTTTCTCGTGACCGTCGGAATTCCCTCCGTCGGAAAAGCTGACGACAATAATCCCCTAAAAACTTCAACGAGTGGTTTCCGCCGCGTCGGATCGCGAAACAACTGTTGCGTGAACTAAGCGAGCCAAGAAGCCGCTACACTGCGAGTTGCCGATCATCGGTCGCAGTGTTCCATAACGAGTTTGTGTTTGTATAAACACCAAAATAGTGGAAGTTCGTCCATCGTGACGGATGTACCGTTACGGAAGCGCGAAAGCGACAGTAAAGCTCCGATGTGCACGCTCCGGGCCCTGCTCCAAATACTTGAGGGTCAAAGATGCATCTCACCGATTGGGCTTAGTGATAGGCTTTGCGGGAATCCCGTGCCCGCTGCTACGGTGGATTTCACCCCAACTAACGGAATAGCATCTCGATGTAGGGTTGAAGCACAGGTTGAGGAAATTTCTCACCAGAAATTCGATCCATCTTTGACCCCATGCCGAATGAAGTTTGGTGTGACGCAAAGCTGATGGCTGTTTTGCGGCGCTTTGCACGGGTGCGCTTCGGCGGGTCGTCCGACAAGAGCCGAGCACAAGAGTCTCGGCCGTCTCGGAAGTATTAAGACAGACTGACAGGGCATCAGAAGTCCATTCAGAATATCGTTGTCGCACTTGATGTCGAAGAAATCACGCTTTTCGAGGGCCGGTGAAAATCCATCCGGTCCCGGACAGCGTGTCCGGCGAGCGGTTTGAGCGTGGCGCCCCGTGAGAGCTCGCGGGAGATAATCTGGAGCAATAGAGCATGACGAATTTCTCGTCTGTCCAATACTTGCGCTCGACGGCATGCGGATCGATGCGTTCAGACGATGTCAGAGTTTGCCGCTATTCGCCGCTCATCCCCAGATACCTCGAAATCTCGGTCTTCGCTCCGGTTCGTCTAGGAGCGCCCAAAGTTGACTATCAACGCTTACGTAGCCCTCTCCAATCGCACACAGCCGTGCGCTTTAGCGTGGTCAGTCGATGTTCACGAAGCCTCCTTGACCTGGCGGTAAACATGCTGTTCGGCCAATACATATCTCACTCGTCGTTCTAAGCTGCATGCTCGGGTCAGGATAGCGGCTGATAATAATATGCGAGCTCGACACGAGCTTCGTGAATTAGGTGCTTTTTTCGGTGAGTTCCCTATGCTGTCCCATCTTCTCCGTTAAACTGGCCAACGGAAGCTGGCTCCAGCGTGAGACATAACATTCAGATGTATGAGCTTCGGATTTTCATGGATTCCCACGATCGGCGCGAAAACATCATGTCAATGGCTTCGACAAGCCGTTGTCTGTTCGAAGATATCGATCTGGGATCGAGCAACGGATTACGGAGGATTAAGGTTGTGCGGCGATGGCTTCCGAAAAAGGAAATGCTCGTCGGGGCTCTGCGGGGACGAATATCTGGAGTCTTTTTCCCATCAGTCATTCGGGATCCCACCGAGCTGGGTTTCCGTGGTTCGAAGCTTTCTAAGATCCTAGATGAGTTATCCAAGAAATCATGGTCGGGTTCCATTTAAGAATCGCAACGTAGAGCTCCTCAAATAGCGGAATGAATGTTCGTCCGAGGTGCGGATTAATTTGACTTCAGCTCGCTTAATTTGTAAGTCATGATTATTTCCTGCAGGATAATTGCGACATTATCACGAAGGTCACCCCGAAGAACTATCACTTTATATTGAGTCTCGAGAAAGCATCGGGGTCAGAACCTTCAGACTCAGCGACGCCGCCGGCCTCTTCCGAGGACCTCGAACAAGATTCGTCGACCGATACATTCACCGTTGCGACAGCGAGCGCGACGTCGGACGAAGCCGAATTCGGTGAGTACGCTAACTAGTGACTGAGCGGTGTCATTGACCCACCCTCGGGTCGGGTATGGGTAGCGGCCCGATTCCCCACTTGAAGCTCTGCGGGTCGCAGCGAATAACAGCTATTCTATTAAACAATTCCGGCTGATTAAATTCTCCCCTGGATTGATTGATCGATTGACCGATTTATTTATTCATTGAGTATCCAATTTCCACCCGGAGATCCGACACTCTGCCTCGAATCGTTTGTCATAGCGGGACAATTGCACTTTCCGAATATCACCCTTATGTGACAGATAGCGTATTTCCGGTGCGTAAAGGTCGGCTGAATGATCTCCTGTGCCATAAGCGTGATCATTGGGCCATAGAGGAAAGGAAATTGTTTGCAATCGATCAAGCGAACCGTCACAAACCACACAGACTACCGTTGCCCGCGCATCCAATCCTCGTGATGCAGGCCACAGAATCCGCCAGATGGTGTCAGCGTCACGTTTTCTCTGTGCTGGCGCTCTGCCACCGGCTGCGCGGCGAGTCCGGGAATTTACCGTCAGTAGAAGCAATTTTCGAGCTGACGCTAAGAATTTCTGCCGTCGTGCCTGGACACGCAATGATGTAATATATGTCCTCTAAAATCGCTCACAGAGTTCGGAACGATCTCGGAAATCGCCAAAGAAGCCATCGTCGATGTAGAACAATCAGAACACATTACGGCAGACGCCATGATCGAAGAGTTCGCTCAGCGAGCTGTCAACGGCATTATCGACGATGCTCTGAAGCAAATGAAAGTCGAGGAGGAGAAGAACAGTGAGTACAAAATTTGCTCGGAGGGATTGGCAGACGTTCCTCTCCGAGACGATCCAGCCCGGTAAACTTCTATCGCAAACTCGCTCATCTGCTCGCAGCGATTCCGCCCTTACCTCTCCCCCTCCTCCCCACTGGAAGTCAATCTACCGGTTCTCTTTGTTCCTTCCTCTCTGACCGAGGCAGTGGGCAGTGTTTGCGATTCAAACACGGATCGCTTTCTAGGTGAGCTCTTGAATCAGCCAGGATGCTCCGGAATAACGCCGACGGAGCTCTATGCGGAGAAGGTGGCTCGCACGATTATGGGCGGCGTTATGATCGAGAGCAACAGACGACGTCCGCCTCCGATCGTAATAAGAAATTCCAATTATTCGGATCCCGCGACTGAAATTTGCTCCGACGATCAAAAACATATCGGTCAATACGCAGATCAGATGGCAACGGTGAGTTCCGTGCAGTTGATGACTGGGATTCAGACGAGCCGCTCATCCGAACGAGGGCAGATGACGGAAGAAGACAAACTTTCTCATTCTTACAAGAAGTCGGACCAACCGTTTGACAGTCTCGGTTTCCAACCTCAGGGTATCATGGCTAATATTAAAAAACAGCTGGAGTACCCTCCATGTCTTTGCAGGAGATATTGCAGAGTGCTCTCCATCCTGTCCCCACCCAGACGGTTGCTAAAGATGCCGATGTCGTTCAGGAAACGCCAGCGAAAGACTCCCCAGCTTCACGGCTCTCCGGAGTCAAAGAGGTTCTCAAACAAAGCGTGCGAGAAAGTGGGAATTTTTTAGGTGAGCCCCTTTCCGTTCTCGACACCTCAGATTCATTCAGCCGCCGTTGCTTGGCGAGACGCTTGAGATTCTCTGATCCTTTTGAAAATCAGAACCCTCACTACTACGCTGTCACCTCCCCGTTCCAGGAGAAGGTGCCACGTCTCCAGACAGTGGGGAGTCGTCTCCGAGAGCACCACAGGAAACCACTGCAACGATCAGCCAGCTGCCACCACCTCTACCACCGCCGCCTCTGCCGCAAAAGCTGCCCAATCAGCCCCAGGAAGTCCAATCAGAATGCTCTCCCGCATCCGATCGTTATCAATTGGACTCTCCTCGCGATTCAAGTTGGGCCAGCCTCAACGTTCCGAAGAGCATTGAGGATATTCAGATCGACTGCGGCCAACGGAAGTACGTTCGCATCGAAGATGCTTCCAAAGCTATGTGGTCCGCCCTCCACAACAGAAGTTATCGCTGCATTCACCAGTAGAGAGGATTCGATCCAAGTCTGCTACGGTTCACCCGGGAACCGCCCGCCCCCACTCCCTTCGTCTGACATGTCGAGCGACACCGATGAGAGTGATGCTAGATCTCTCAGCGTCTTGATTCTTTTCGCTCTCTTCGCCTAAATTTCTCCATTCATCCGTTCCTGAGTGAGAGCCATATCGAGGCCGAAAATTTTCCTCTGAATTACTATAGTCTGCATAATTCGGGGTTTCCCTACGGAGACCAGTGGAAGAACTTTGTTGTTTATTATTTTCCCATCTTCGGAATTGTCTCTTTGGTGTTCAGCGATAAATGATTGTGAGGTTACGGTTGTGTGTGGAATCGAATAAGTCAGCGTAAGTGCACTTCACATTAGTTCTTACTGATTTTGCGAGAGACTTCTTTCGAGAGACCCGACGATGCCGACCCGTTGCCATTTTCTCGGTGAATCGTTATAATAAGAAGATAATCATTCTGATTCTGCAGATCGAACAGTACCATCGTGGTGTCGCTGGGAAACCTCATCGACTCTGATACAGGGTCGCCAGTAGCAGCTATGACGAGAGCCACATCCAATCCCAGTCGGAAAGAGCAACCTGGGAACAACGATGATGAGCATGTCGTTTTCGCTGTCACAACACTGAAAAGAGAAAACGTGAGTCATTGCCACAGTTTTGACGTTTTCGAATCGCCCTTTCTCAGTCCCATCCTCTGCTGCGAATTCTATGCTGACGTTGTGCTGTCATCATGTGCTTTTCCCTTATTTCCAGACGGTGATGACGGAATGCGACTCGAGACCGGTCTACATGAACCTGGCAGCCAGTGTTCCATTCTTAGCGCCGCAGATCCGTAATTTCAGACCTTTCGGTTTCTGCTGTACTATCATGTGATGCGAGATCCTCAATTTTTTTTCTCCGAGCTCCGTGAAATCAACGTCGTCTCGAGTCATGAGGAGACTTAAAATAGCACGAGTAACGAAGGTCTCGTGTTGATTACGATTTATGTCTCTGGATAACGAGATTCCGCGGAACGAAATATTAATTCAAGTCTCGGGAAGGGAACCTCAACTCGGAGGAGATGCCTCGACTTACAAACCGAGATGCGATGCTTCCGACGCCTCGCTCGGATCAAACGACAGACGATGTTAGCGAGACTCAACGACCCCTTGGAAGGTTCTCCCCCATCTCCGACTGACCATTTCGAATGGAGGTACAAATGTTCCCCCCCACCCGGGAAAAGCTCTCTCGGGAACACTGTTCTTGAGTTGATGGATGTTAGTCAGATAACCAATGACTCAGCAGAAGAAGAAGGAAAACCCTCAGCCGCCTCCGGGCAATAGCGTGTTCACTCCGTACCTGTCTTAGTCGGACGACCTTCTCAGAATCCGGAATTAGGAACATACACGACCTTCGGAGCAGCGATGAGAGTTTGCTGGCAAGGACCGACAGAGAAAAAATTGCAGAACGACATGTTGTTGAGCAGCGAAGGTCGTGGATTTTGTTGAAGCCAACCAGAGTTTATGCTCACCAGTCCACCTAATCATCCAAAGCACATCCGCCCGCCATGATCGATCAGTAATTTCCTTCTGCGCCCTTCCGAATTTTCCCTTCCGTCTGAAAGCATATTCGCTTTGGACTGATTCTCTATTCTAATTCTAATACAAGTGATGAGTCAGTCAGACTCTCTTCTATCTACCGCGAATCAGTCTATGTTGAGTTTGTTTTTCTTCAGTGGTCCTTTATTATCTTCTACGGGAATCCATCCCGCGTCGGGTCTGATTTTGCGACTTAAATTTAAATTGAGAGTTGACAGTGTGACGATTATGAACATTGTGACCATGGTGACTTGATTCATTCTTGGGCTTCATTTTGAGGCATCTTGTATGGCAGCGATCATCCGTTTTGAGGAAATCAGTATCAGCCATTGAATCGAGAACAGGGTGGCCTCCCTCGTTTCGGGTCCGAGCTCACGGATCACATTCTAAATTCCTGCGAATGGATCGACCAGTGTGTTCTGACCTTGCATAGATATGAAGAAATGTATGCGCGAATAAAACACATGTGATACACTGGAGCGTCTTTTTCCTCTCCATTCCCTCCACCTGCGTCAAGAATTTGGCCTCGGATCGAATCGCATGAAGATGCTCACCTCGGTTTGGGGCGCGTGCCGCGTGATCCGAAACGGACACAGCTTCAGCCAACATTTGACAAATAATCCCAATAACCTCGATACGAGTTTGCGAAGCTGGGTTTGTTTCCCGAGAAAGGGATGCCTTATTGGGAAGAATGGAGAGTGCCGGTGTCAGAAGGCTCTCGGTTCGCGAATGCGTCAAGCCATTTTGTTATGTTATGAATTTATGAAATACAGCTATCGCAGCTGCATCAGGGCGGCGCGACGAATTTCTGCAGGATCTGCATTGGAATAATAAAACTCGTGCGGTTACGCCTGATGATGGAACTGCTCCAGCTTGATCTGGAGCAATCCCGGCGAACCCCCAGGATCAACCACTAAGGTACACAGATACATGTATCTGGGTGAGAAACGTCTCATGATGCCTCGAGGATTCCGTTGACGAGATGTCCTGTAAGCACACGATATTTCCGCTCGATGTCTCCGGAAAAGAAATTGGGATCCAGAGAGGATCTTCGGAGTCTCTACTCCATTCACCTATTTCAACGGACGACGCACAGTGTGGCCAAACCCGATTTTAGGCGGCAGAAATTGAAAATGAAAAATCTTGAAAATTCAGTCGTTGCGTTTTGGAGGAAGAATGGGGACCTTTGGAACACACCCCAGTGGGAAACCAAGCACTTGTATCTCTGTGGAGAGACTCTGGAAAGAGGTGTTTTTTTTTGCTCCGGACTGTCACTTTTTTCTTCCGATTCGTGCTGACGCTCGAGTTTCCGTGGAATCGATCAAGGAAGGAGCAAACACCGAATCGTGAGTAGGATTGAGTCTGAAACTTCACGTTCAGCGTCTCATTCGACGAGAGTATGCAAATCAGAAGTTTTTCTGAGTGCATCTGTTTTTGCGAAAAAGCCTGATTTCCATGAAATTTCACCGTCAAAAAAGTATATGGACCAGGGCGGACCCGGGCGGCTCATGGGGTGGAAAATCTTCTTTCACCCTCCTTCCTTCCATTTCCGAAAAAGAAAAGCCAGCGAGTTTTGGCAAACGTGAGTGCGTGCTGTTCTCAGATATTCGAATTTGGGTGCCCCGGAGAACATTTGCGGAGACAATCTTCAAATCCCGGGAGAACGAGCGCATCGATGGGTTGAAGAAACTCATTTTGAGTCATGCTCATGTTGAAATTGAGCAATTAAGCAACAGATCTCACATCAGAAAGCAGATCAGCAGGCATGTGTCCCGAGTTAGGGGAAACTCGGGAGACATAATTCGAGAGCGGAACGCTTCTTCGATAAAGAAGCTGAATCGCTCGACACCAAAAACTTTGATTTCATCGTGCACTACACTGAGCTACCCGCACAAGAAGACGTGCCCGAGGAGCCGGGACCATTGAAAGCGTCTCAAGGGACACCTCGAGCGGGACGACCAGAGAAAAATTTCTCGGACTCGGCGGAGAGGACGAAACGGATCAAAGTCGAAAATCTTCTGCCTGCCGGACCTGCTAAGTTATTATACGCGGCTTTCCGAGGAGCTCAGAGCCAGAAATTTCCTCTGATGACTGATACGAGTTCGTACGTCGAGAATAATTCAAAAAACTCACTGAAATAATTTCTGCCGCCTAAAATCGGGTTAGGCCTTACTGTGCGACGAAGCGAAACCCGCGGTCCTTGTCATCTAGCAGAGAAAAATCTCCGTCGACATTTGGGGAATTTCCCCGACCCTCGATTCCAGCGGAGGTCCCGGCGAGCTCAAGGCGCACCTTGTGTAAACATCGATTCGATATCAGCGATTATCGACCTCTGAAATGATCTAGATCTAGATGAACAGTTTCGACCCTCCTACCGAAAACAATGCGGACAATGGTCTCAAGGTTCACGAGAGCTAAACTTTTCATTCCGGGTGACGCGAGCGCATATCCAGTGCCTAGTGACCTCAGATGACGGTCGCGAGCTGTTGAGCCCGGCGCTACGGTCGGATATGACTTTCAGTAGCTCATTCGCTGCGGGTTTCGGAGGGGCTGGAATTGGGAATAATGTGACCTCAATGTTCTCGTCATGACTGGCACACGCAAAGTTTCAAAGGATTCGATGGATTCGATACCCTTTCGAGGCAAGATGTTCGAGCTTCACGACTATCCGCTGAGGTCGCCTCTTCCCACCCTCTTCAGTTCTCGCTTAGGAGTTTGCCGATCGGCCTCGATGGCTCGCAATCTGCATTCTCCGCCAAGCTCTCGCAAGGTCCAGTAATTCTATAGACCTTCACATGAGCGTTATCCCGATTCCCGGGTCCTCTGGGCCTCGAAAGAGCCATCGGATATCAAGAGAAGAAGACAATCCCGAAAGCCGAAAGACGCAGGGAAACGGTAGCTCGCCTCTGCAGATTCCACACCCAGGAGGCTTCGCGGCGAAAAAAACCTTCGGCTCTTTCCAGAATAAGAGGCTTCCAACTTTTAATTTCCGACTATGGACTAAGTCTGCGGAATCGAAGTTACGTTTCCGTATTCATCGTCGGGAATGATCGAAAGCCTGGCGCTTCGATCCGACCGCTCCGAAGGTTGCGCTTAGGCAGACAGAAGATACAATGCCCTAATTATTACAGGAGTAATACTTGCGGGAGTGACTCCTTCCCGGGAATCGCAGATTTCTGGCGGACCTCAACGGAGCTCGCGATTGAGAGGGGCTTCCCCGAGGGAATGCGCGCAGAAGGCGAGTGCATAATGCGCACATGCCCTTGCTTACGTAGATTCGAATGACTATTTTCCGATAAGCTTAATCTAAAGCCGTGGCTGCAGTTCCGGAGACCCCTACGGAGACGGAGCGGCTTAAGATAACCTTCAAAGCCTCCTCCATCGATTATAAAACCATGCTCCGTGCCAGCTGGATTGCACACGTTCGAGGCTCCAGACTGAGGGATGAAGCTGTGGATGATTCTCGCGGTGTCCGCCGTTGCCCTGTGTGCCAGTCAAGCCGCGCCCGTGCAGACCAATGATGCTCGGGTCTTCCTGAACAGCTACGGATCTCAATATTACGATCCTCGGTCACTCATAGAAAAATGGTTCAAGGGAGACTTCGAGCTCCGGGAGAGCCTGAGGGATCTTTCCGAAGTGGTACGTCCGATATGAGTCAGGCATTGGTGTGAATTTTCCTCCCGAGCAACTCATGGTATCGCCGAGGGAAACCGAAGGCATTTCTGCGAAGCGACAACACGTCGGATGATGAAGAGGGAGCCAAAAGTTTCCATCATGCAATCGTTGAATCGACTGATCGAATTCAACCCCGAATTTTTCTATGACGATTGTGAGGGGGCATTGGCTCAGAGGTTCTCGGAGCATGCCGTCTCGACTCCACAATCGGAAAGTTCCGCATCTCAGGTGGTATTGATCAACTTCCCGAATTTTCAGTTGACGGGACGGAAATCAATGGTTGAGGTGATCGCCGGAATAAAGCAGGTCTTCGGTTCGCTATCTGACGTGAGTTCCATCAGAGCTATGGTCAATATCGAATGGAACTGCACTCCTATTCATAGAGTTCTTTCGTATATACGAGCCGATTCCCCTGTCTCCAGGTCAGCCGAGGTCTCATCCTTCTATTGAGGAATGTTGGACTAGACGCCTTCAATGTCATCATCAACAAAATCCTCGGGAGCCATTACGATTCGAGGAGCAGCGCACCACTTTACAGGTTACCCGTAGAGGATCACAAGAACATCATAAGAACATAGTGTGTATTCTTCCCGGAAAGAATAAATTTCAGCACATGGGTAGAAGCTTGATATACCATTTTGGAAAATTCTCTGCACCAGTATCGGGGCTAACATACTGAAACATGTCCAATGTTCAGCTCTGATGAATGCTGGATTGTGATTAAGAGAGCATCCTCTCACTCCTAACTCCTGGTCTGCCTTGCCCAAAACTATGAGCTGAATGCAGAACAGGGATTAGTTGGGGTACCGAGCGTAAGCGGAGTAGCGCGATCGAAATTGATTATCCGATCGAGGGACAATCATCCTGATTCTGGAATGTTTGACCCTGAATTCTTTCCGAGGGCTAAGAATAATAGCGAACTTTAGAAGATGGTTTCCCGCTCGAAGCGACATCGAGCTTCACGATTCCCGATAAGCGCATCAAGACTCCCTACAAGCTTTGTATGGCTGCCGGAGTAATTCCCTGTCTCCCGAGTTTGAGGAGAGTTCCTAGTACAAGTCGCGGGACACGGCCGGAGTCCATCTGGCCTGATACCTCCAGAATCGGGCGGTTCGAATTTCCCGCCAAAACGAGTGAGGGAGAGACGGAATCTCTTCCTTGATGGACTGTAGAGACACTGAGTGAGAGCTAAAGGCGAGAAACACATGCTTTCACGCATGTCGAGTTCAAGTTTTCGAAATCGCCCTTGACGGATGCTACCTCTACGCTCGGAGGAACGCATTATCAGCCTGGGATCGCTGGAAACCGCCTTCTGGCTTAGAAAGTGATTTGTGAGGGAATCATCGTACCATGAAAGTTCCGAACACGCATCTCCGGGACTGGCAGGCATTGACCCGGTGACAGCCGCGAAAAGTTCTTCGTCTACGAATTCCAAACTGAAACTTGGAAGATCTAAATCGAGTCTTCGGAGAATAGCTCTCAGGAGCTCGAGCGCAGCATAATGGACGCCAAAGCGTTGCTGCAAGGTATGGGTTGGAAAGAAGGCGAAGGATTAGGGAAATCAAATCAAGGAATTTCGGAGGCGATCAAGCCCAAGGTGGGTCCTCGAGTTATTCATCTTGAGTGTTCAGATTTATCTCGGCAAAATGAGAGCCTGCCGGTTAGACAAGACTCTTTAATTTATCCACAGGTTCAGCTAGATCGCAATGGATTGGGCCTCAACCCGGCAGCTAGCCTGATCGAGCCTTGGTGGGCGAAAGTTTTCAATCAGACTGCCAAAAATGTCGTAGTTGGAGATTCCAGTCAGGGGAGGAAAACGACGACGAAACGCACAACGAGAGATGCGGGTTCAGCGCCCGGCCGAGACGGAGCAGTGAAACCGGTAAAGAGAAGGACGAAGAAGATGAAGAAAACCAGGAACGCGGGAACCAGTTGTCCGTCGGAGTCGGATTCCTTCAAAGCGCACCTAGCTTCAATCAATAAGAGTCTATATATGGGAAGTTTCACCAAAGGCACAACATTGCGACCCGGTGCAAGTTTCTGCGAATCGATAGAAATCGGTGATACGGCCGGAGAAGGGGTGACGGTGTGCGATGAACCCCACTCGAATCCAATCGACGAAAACCTATGGAGAAGTTGCGGGGGCCGAACCGCGCACAAGGGTGCTAGATACGGTGTTCTAAAAGGGAAGATGGCCCGATTGGTGAAACAGGAGGAGGCTATGGCGTCCAAGCTCGACGATTCAAAAAGAATAATAAACTAAATCCCAAGCTTTGTTGACAGATTCCGCATCGAATCCTGCATTCCTTTCCCGAGAATTCCTTTCTGTCATTGATCTTCGTTAGCCTCAGGATCTCGCCATAGATATCCGATTTCGAGATGATCTTCGGCAAAATAGTGACCTCCCGGATCAAGTCTTGGTTCCTTTATTCTCACTTCGCTCGGCGATTCTTGGCGTGGCTGTTGCCTGGCCAAACTCCAACATGTGTCGGCCCAATACCTATCAACAGTAAATAACGAAACGGGACAGAGTGCCTCGCCGGATTGCGGCCGCCTCGAGGGAAAGAGGGGTAAGCGAGAATCTGTGGAGAATTTCTTCAGGATGCTTTGAAATCGAGCAGCCTCGGACGCCTCACTACCTGGGAGGAGCTGGGTCCACGGAAACGAGCTCACCGAAGACCATGTGCTGGACTATGGGAAACTTGCAGAGTACTTCATTCTTGTACATCCGAATGAGGCCTGGAGAGGGAGAGGGGAGGAGTTTTGAGTCTGGGGAACATACGTCGCCGGTTCTATACGAATTCTGAGAACGTAAGGGGCGCACGGGATTCGTGGTCACGCCATCATATTCCCGATGTTGATCAAGGTCTCACCCTCATTCAATCTTTGCCAGGAAGGGGTACCCGAGGCATTATACAGTTGGTTCGAGTGCTCGAAGAAAGGACCCTTCTTTACCGAATTGATGTAGGCGATGCAGGCCATGAATAGGTAGTCATCGGCATACCTGGAGGAATTAGGCATATTCTTCATTATCGCTCGTTCCTTCTCTAGGGGAGATTGTGGAGCTCATGGACACATCCGCCGCATATCCAGACGGTCTGGTGCTCACCTCTCAGGGATGTCTTCGTTCAGAAACTGACATGGCTCAGAGATCTCAGGATTAGGTTTATCAGGTGGATCGATGACCAACTGTGATGAACCCCAAACAAACGGGAGGAATTGATAATCGTCCAGTGACCAGACCTGGAATTGTTTCAAAACACTCTGGTGAATTGTCCAGCATCAGATAGACGATTTCGGGTAGGTTCGAGTCGCCAACCGTCAGGCTTGGAATCCTGAATCGAAGAATTACTCACACCATGACTTCCAGCCGGTTCCATCCTGTAGACGGTTTGCAGCTTTCGCACTAATCGCATGTACCTGTGAGAACGAGCCCCGCGTAAGATTTAATCCGAGAAGGGAAACGCTATGAATATGATCCTAGCGTAGAGATCGGGGATTCACTGAAAAGTACCAACCCACTCACCGGGTGAAGATTTTACAAACCACCGCTGGGGCATCAGATTCAGTGAAGAATCCGATCTTGAACAAACACATGAGAAAAACTGCGAAATTCATCTCATGACCGGTACCATAATCGATTCGGGTTTGATTACCTGGAAGCGACATTTTCATGTCGGTTACAACTCGATTCCCCACCCGGAAAGGAAAGCTCTCGAATTCAGTAAGGTTTGCGCCCCTGCACTCACCAAACGAGTCCAGATAATACGCTGCCAACTCTGACGCCCGTGACTTCAGGCTCTCGGGGAGCACTTTTTCGATGGACTCGACTCTCCGGTCTGCGAACTTCTGATACCATTGTCTGTAAGCCGCGTTTCCGAAACGCGCTGGCTGTGAGATCGGTGGGGTCTCGTCGATCAGTTTGTCGAGCTCCGCAAGGAGGTCCAGAAGCTTATTGACATTTTCGCTGACGGTCATCTCTGATCTGGAAGATTAGGGTACCAGTCTTTCATCAATCATGTTGTCGATAACGAACCACACGACCCCAATTGTATTAAGTGAGGAGCCTCAAGACTCGATGAAATGAAGTCTCCGTATGGCCCTCTTAGTTATGGGTAGTCTATTAGATCTCGTGAAATTCCCGGAGTGTTGATGAGTTCGAGGTATCAAGGCACAGAGATGGATTCGGTGCCGCTTTCAGAGACGAATCCCACGGATAGAAACGATCTCGAGGTAGCCGTCTAGCCTCATCCTCCCTGACACACATGATCGTTGTCTGACTTACCCGGCGTTCAGTCCGCGAGTCGCTTTATTCATCGCCAGGACAAATTGTAGATAGTCGTCATAAGCTCTACTCTTCAACCATTTGTCGATGTCCTTCGGTACCTTGATCTCTCGGACCGTCACTTGAGCCATGATGTCTTGGGTCGGCTCCAGGAGTGGGTAGAATCGCTGGAATATTGGCGCCGCGCTCTCTTGGGAGGATAAATACACTCAGATGAACGTCGCACTAGGCTAACGGAGCCTTGTGTCACTCCGAAAGATTCGGCTCGAATAGTGCCCCGGGACGGGGAGAGACCTGATCGGTATAGGTCGTTGATGGTTGCACGATTTCCCACCTACAGCTGGAGATCCTTTCGGTGGTTGACAGTCCGCGAACCGCCTTCTCGATTTGTATGCGAGTAAAATATTTGTTGACGACTCCAGATCACAAGGGCGATTTCCCGGGATGGAGAGACGGCTTTACGAGAGAGGAGGGAACGGTGTACGTCGCGCATACGTCCCTGACCAACAGGGGGAATCGCGATGGGTCGGCGCCGGATAGACTGTCTCAGAGAGTGAAGTTCAGTGTGCAAAGAGCTTGCAGACGGGTGTTCGCCGGACGCTGTCGACGATGATCTCTGCTGGAGGGTTGAAACTTCGTAGAATTTCAGGTGGAGCTTGCTTCTTATAGCGGCGCAAGACATTAGAGAAGAATTTTGGAGGCTCCAGGTAGGCCTCGATGTTCTCAGAGATATCGGCGCATTCCGACCTTTCAGTCTCATGGAACATCTGAACGCTCTCCGGAAAAGATGTTTCATGCGGATCTGCGCAAAATCATGTAACCTAGTAGGTCACCGGAGGCGAACGGTAACACGTCTTTGCGATACGCTCGTCCTCGGCCTGGGTTCATTCGCCGCTCGAGCCCACAGCGACTGTCCGAGAAGGAAGCGCCCTGTTGCCAGCAGCGAATTCATTGCAATTAGACACCCTCTGAACAAGCTAGGCACCCCAGCGAAATTGAGGGACACCGATCAAGTTTGTTTGCAAAGGAGGTGTTTCGGATGGCGTTGTCCATTATACAGATCCGATGGCGCGGTTCGAAAAACGCAAGCAGCGCATTCGGCCAATAGGTGGATCTTCGGCTCGTCGAGGAACTAATGCCGGCCCGGTCAGATGAAGTACCCAGATGGTGTGGTCAGCCGCGGTTCCGATCTGATGGATCGACACCCAGACACAGCTTGCTTCCGCTGTGTGTCCTTTGTTTTCGAGAAGGCACAACCAGCGAGCGCGGACAGTTTCCCCGACTATTTCCCGGGAGTATTGGGGTCATTATCCATTTTTCTGCTCGATAGCGGCTCCTCTCTCGCCGAAACGGATAATGATTCTGAAGTCGATGAGCATCCGTTCCGTAAAATGAGATCTTCCGATAAAACGTGGACTTTTGTTCGTACGAGTGTAGTGTTGACGATCAAGCAGCCGCTTCTCCGATCCATGATGATGACCGACGGCTACATCAGCAGCACCGCCAGCAGGAGGACCAGTGTTTTGCGGTAACTGCTGCTCCTCATCAGTGCTTGTTGTCTTTCTGCTACGTTAAGAAGTGAATCAACGTCGGATCGAATTTTTGAGCCGAGCTGCTGCGGACCGAAAAATCCGGTGTCTCGTTGCTCTGTGAACCTTCGTTTTTGCTCAGTTCGTCCTTCCGACCAAGCAATCGTACGTCACTCGAAAAGAATCTGACAGGCTGCCGCTCGGAAGTTCAGCCGCCAGGTGAGACCGACCGGCGCACCTGCTGACGTTTCCAGTGAGGCACAGGATCCCGCGTTTCATCTGTGGACGGCAAAAACCTCGTGGATTTGGCCTCGACTTCCGATCGCGGCCCGATCGGATAATCATCATGGGGGCGATTATCTCGAAGTTCAGAGTAAGTTGAAAAAAAATCCGTGGGCTGAAGGGTCTTCATGGTCCCGATTCTGTCAGATCAAAAGTCTCCGACGCTGTCATAGTCGACGAGACGCCGCGAGTTGCGGATTTCCTGCCGAGGTCGGTGAATCATTCTATAGCTGGCCAGAATATCATTTTCCATCTGCGCTCGTGTCGCCGGAAGAGGAAAAAAATCGGGCGTGATCCTCTTCTGATCTATCGCTAGAGGGGAGGGTTCGCCATCATTGTTGCGAAAATACTCTGCACTGAGGACCGACCGGAGAGGCTTGAGAGCTGTGACCTCTTTCCACGCCCATGTTGATGGGCTCAAGAGATCGGTGTCGATGAGCCTGAGAATATTATGAAAACGCCGCGATGCCGTCGCGTGTGACAGTATCGATTCCAATATCGATACTTCACAACCGGCATGGTTGATTATTGCGATATCGTGGGCCAGTCTAAGGTTGGACAACGCTTGAACTTCATTTTCTCCACGCTCCTATACTCGGAAACCTGTGGGAATTTCTCGGCTATTCCGAGCCGGAAGCTATTCACACGGCGCGGTATTAGCCCGACTCGTCAGGGAATAACCTAACATATTTCTCACGGGGCGATACCGGAAGAGTCTTTCAGCTCAGTCGAGGGTACATCTAGATGAAGAAATTCGGTTGCCGCTCTCGAGCTTTCCAGAGATTATTTATAATAGAATCTTCTCGAGGGTCCGAACATCCACCTCTATGACGGCGTATTGGATGGAATTCGATGCCTCTAATCTGTCTTCTGGTCTTTCGTTCGCAGAAGGAGCCCCCCACATTGGAGCAACAATTAGAGGCCCTAGAGAAGAAGATCTTCCAGATTCATGAGTTCAACGAAGCGACTGAGCATGCCATGAAGAAAATCATTGGTGGGTGTCCCGAATAAGAGACTTCCTCGTCTCTTGGCCTTGGAATTCGCTCTCACGATTTTCACCGCGGGAGTGATACTCTAATAGACTCTCATCTCCACCAACTAATTCCCGGGGGAATTTTCCCGGCACGATTTCTGTGCAGCCAACTGATTCCTAGTCTTTCCAGGCGCAATGCTGTTCTACGGTTGGAGTCTGATAATTATCGGAGGAGTTGTGGCTTATTTCTACTTCGATCACACATTAGAGTCGAGTTTGATTTGCTTGGCTCCCGTGATTCTGGCCCCATTCGTCTTAATGGGTGAGTGGTCCGCGCGACATCAGATCAGACTACATTTCTCCGAGCGCAAGATATCCGAAACCCCTTCACGCGGGAACACTTTCGCAGCGTTCCACCAGTTAGGTCGAATGCTCTCAGTAAAATCTCCTAATTACAGGCAGTAAGAAATTGCTTCAATATTACTACAACTCGCGGCTCGAACGGAAGAAAGGCGAGCTAAACGCGCTCATAAAGGAGAAAAAATCACTAATCGATAAAGTCAAGGAAACCATCTCATACAAGAAGGTGCGGTCGTTTTTCTCGGATGGATTTTTTTCTTAATTACTCGTTCGTTCCGAAAAAAACAATCCCCCGACCGCCGTGAATAATTGTTTCCCTTAGGCTCAGGAGATCTTGGAAAAATTCGACAGCGAAACGAGGATGCGAAAAGCGCAGGCTGAGCAACAGCGAGCGATGCAAACGGTTCTTCAACAGAGCGGTGAGACGCCACTGACTAAAATCCCTGCTGCCCAAAGAAATTCGCTTGAGAATGGTAGTTGGCTTTGACTAAAGTTTCTTTCCGAATGCTCTGAAACTTTATCGAATAACTTTTCTTCATCTCATTTAGTGGTTTTGTGGATATTTATTTTTCTGAGGGTGTTTCGATGCTGACTCAACGCCTGTGGTCTGTATGACTCCCTATTGCTCGCGCATTGCAGTCATACGTAGGTCTGGGCCACCGGGAAAATCACTCTGGATGAGAATTGATAAGCCTTTCCTATTGAAGGTATTGATATCCGACGTCGCACGGTCGGTACCCCTATGGGAGCCATGGCAGCTCAACGAGGTACTCCCATGGGTCCGAGTTCAGCACCCTTCACGCCTCTGCGGCATAATCAATTCCAGCCACCCCTCCGAAGTGAGTATCATGATACGATTCCGATTCGACGAGATATCGGCTTCCGCAGCAGACCAAGTCGTACGATCGCGAGAGCATCACTCCCCGCCTCCCCCCATGGAATGAGAACTAATTCAACGAATTATTCTCATCAGATTCTATGCAACTCCCGAATCGGAGTCCATACCTACCGAAGACAGCTCGCCCGATTCTGCCTCAAGATCGCGGGACTGTCGAGAAAATGATCGACTACATCGTCGGTGAAGGCCCGAATAATCGGTAAGCTCATCTCGACAGCGGACGATTTCGATGACGACTCAGGTCCGAATATTTGGAGGACATGACCGAAGTCTTTTTCAAACGCCTCTCCAGATACGCTCTCATCTGCAAAAAGTGCTCAGGGCATAATGGAATGGCTCTGAAGGAAGAGTTCGAGTTCCTGGCTTTCAAATGTTGTTATTGTTTCCACTTCAATGGCGCGCGAAAACAAAGACCTCTCGCCCCAGCTCCACCGAGCTTGAGCAACGCAAATTCTACAACTTCCTTGAACGACGCTTCAAGATGTGAGTTCCACGGCTGGATGAACTCCCTGATGAGATCACGTTTAGTATTTTTTCCCTCCACCTGAGCTGCCCACCAACGCATTCAGCGCCTTGAAGAAACGGAGAGATCATCTCGAGACTCGACTGAGATCCAGAATGAGACTTCATGCATTTTTTCCAGCGAGCTCCCCTGTTCCTTCAGGTCCTTCGGTGAAGGACTCTGATCAGGAAATGGAGGCCGATACTCAGAAATCGTCGGATACTCCGGTCCCAGGATCACCGAAAGGTGTCAGGCCCTCTCCAGAAGGGGACGAGACGTCACTGGACAGAGCATCGGAAGACCAGCAGTCACAGCTGCATCAAGAGCATCAAATGCCGCAGGTTACGAAATTTAGATATCCCGCGATTTATTTACTTCATACTTGATAAGGACGGCATCATAGGTCGGTCGCTCACTCACAGTGTTCTTCTCCGCAGATGATTGACGAATCGCCAGAAGAGTAGGGGCTCCTCGAGATCCGAGGCGGAAAACGGGAGCTGCGTTCCTTCGGGCCAAAAAACGAAAAGGAAGGAACGACCTGGATACCACGTTGCAATATCTTGAATTTAATATAGTCTCGAACGATTCCTGTACAGTACCGCGTTCCCGAGGACGGAACGTGAATAAAGAAGCCCTGTCTCGAGCTGAATGTTGTTCGGGAGACACGGACTTCCTTTGAAGCATTGCACTCCTGTCGGCTGGAGCAATGAGATGAGATTCTCCGATGATTTCCGAGGATTTGCTGCCCCGATCGGCTCTCATCTGCCTCTCCCTTAGCATCCATTCAAGCCGGAGGACGTCTTTTGCGAGCATGATTCCTCGTCTCGCAGCAGATTTCCACAGACATTCACAGCCGAAGCACAAGAGTCCTCGTCCAGACGGAGCTGCTTGGCAGAATATCTCGTAGCCTGAAGCCTGTTTGCAGCTCCTTGGACCTCCTCTCTAGCAGGCATGCTGTCGGCGGAGCTTGCGCGAACGATTGATGAACCGGGAGGGGAGTAGTTCAGAGTGTTATCTCCAGATGACTCCCCTCAGTCAGGGTGATTGAGAGGTTTCTCGAGCAATTTTCGGAACCGCTCGATTCCCCCGAAATACTGTTCCACCGGATGCGACTCGCCAGCTGAACTCTTCTGAATGGGTCTAACCTTCCTCGTCCTCCTGAGTTGTCTTCAGAGCTCTCTGACTCCATCTCCGGAGTCCTGAATAACTCCTCGCTCCTGTTGATGGCTTCTGGGGTTATCTCCGTCAATAGCTGGAATGTCAGAAAGCTGTTTGTTCACTTCGCTCACATGGGATCTCTCTGGCGGCCTTCGCACCGCAGTTTCCCATGAAGCCCATGAAGTTTGAGAGCTCCTCCTTGATTGAGGGTCAATACTGAGAACTACACGACCTAGGGCGCGTCCATGTCCGCGGGGTGCGGTTCATGCGCGAAGCACAAATGTTGCTGAAGGACTTGGAGCAGAAGCGGCGCTCCAAGACTGAGAATAACCGTCCAACGACTCACCGTCATTTCCTACACCTCAGCCTTGCCATCAGGGATATAACCTACCTAGGACGATTCGGAGAGTACTTCGTCAATGAGTTCGTAATGCGTTTGTTGTCGATTCTATTGTCCTCCGCAATCCTTGCAGAGCTCGCAGATACTACCGGTGCGTAGGGATGTTCAAGTCCGGGCTCGACACCCGCATTTTCCATCATCTCGGAGAGGAGATCCGCTCCTTCACACCTTCTGCTCTTCTGTCTCAGCAGGACGGGTTTGGTCAAAACTGGAGATGCTTCTCCTCAGCTTGCCTCGTGGAAGGGCCAACCGTCATTTTCTCCGAATCTCAGCCAATTGCGGATTAAGAATCTGGAGGACAGTAGCCGGTCATGATTCCAGTCGCGTCAGACACACCGAACCTTACCCTAGTACCTACTTGTATATGTTTCCACTCCTTCACCGCTCGTGGCGGGCATTTCTGACGAGCGAAGCGCATTCGCATCGAGGGGCCGAGAAGGATGGACGATGTTGCTGATTGTCCTCCCTCTGGCCCTTGAGCAGGCACGGAGAGGCAAAACAATATTATCCTGACGTGTGGCAGATTGATGAGCTCTATTGCGTACAGCAGTACCGTCCGCGGGAGCGACGGGGAACGCGAATTAATTTTGTTCCGAACAACATGCATTTCGTTCTCGAGCAGGACGACCCACTCAATGGGATCATGCAGGTTATCTGACCAATATTCCCAGGGACCGCCAGCAGTTCCTGTCGGCATCTAAGCACATGATGTAAACTCCAACCTCAATGAAGAAAATCACGCACGAATCCTTCTCAATTGACGGATCTGCTTCGACTAACGTAGGTGCGAAAATTCGACTAACGAACGGTTTTCCGTCAATCAGAGGTGCGGGGGATTCCCCTACAGAATTCTCTTACACATATAGAATTCTCTTACACATATAGGAGGAAGTCCTCGCGGGATATGAGCAGCACGCAGCGTATCCCTCCGGTAACCGTCGGAGTTGCTCCATGGGTCACACTCGACAACATATTCGCTCTAATTGAGAAAAGAGCCTCTGAATGGTTCAGACGACCCCAATGCGTGCCCGTGTGTTTCGACTTGATGCCTCGAGATTCGACTTTCGAACGATGCCCGTCAATGGGAAGCTTCGAAGATGCCCGACAATAATTAGGTGCATGCCCGTTGGTTCGGACCTTTTCTAGCGTCCACGTTGAACGTAGCAAGTACTCTCGCCGCGGTCTGCCGAAAAAATAATTGAAATTTTCCTAGAATTTATTTTCGATCTCAGAGACATGAGAGAGCTTCCGATGAGTGGAGTACTCGTGCATTTGTGGGGAGCGGTGAAGCTGTCGGGCTAGATTAAATCATGATAAAAACATGCCGACAAAGATGAGAACTCGTGAAATCGTAATTTCTATCCTTCCATCGACTCTGTTTCTTTCTCGCCATGATTGAAATGCCATCCGATGCGACGATGAACAGATGGCATTCGACCCGACGCAGATCCGGTCCGCGACACCATTACGGGACGACGATGCGATACGTTGTTCAGAATGTTTGTCTTCCATTAATAGCTTTGGGGGATATGTTCTGAGGATTAGCGCGAAAGAAAATTTGATTGTATTCTTTCAAACACCATGCATATGAGATTCCTAGCCATTTCAAATGCCAGAATTATCCACGAGTTCGCGGGAGGATCGAATTCTTCTCCGATTCATATCGACCACGATTTCTGTTCCCCGGCATATAAAGAGGGAAATTCGATCCTTGGAGAAAAGGACTAGCCAGGAATTGATTGCTCGCACACGATCAACAAGAGCTCAATCGGACCCGACCCACGAAAGAATCCTCGATATCCTTCACAGAATTCATGCTGCTGATCTCCTGACTGCTTTTCCAATAGCTGTAAAAATTCGAAGGACTCACCGACAGGCCAAGTTTTTTGGTGCCGGGAGAGATTGCTGGGCCTCATGGAGCTATTCACCGCGCGAGCCGATATGAATTGGTGTCTCACTCCGTTCGATTCCCCACGAGTGCTCCCGATCTGACCGATAAATATTGGAGATCATGGTGTTCGATTCAGAATAAGGTATCTTGAGGAGATTGCCTCAGTCACGAATGTTCCTGCGGCAGGGAAGTCTGTTCTTCCTCCGTCGCCCACGATGGCTCTCAAGTCAGTACAGCTCATTCGTCCTGCTCGATGGAAGACGACGATCCGAAATAGGGCCAGGAGCTCGCTCAGATGACCGCTCCGGGAGATCACGCGTCGGGGTGGTTGGGAATTGTAGAATGATCAGATTTCCGTCGTGAGCCCGGCAGATAAGAGGCAGCGCTAATTGAAACAAAATACGGCTCTCTAGATCCTCCTTTGATGAGCGAGATCCTATGACCTTTCGCGAACGTCTATTTCCTCTCTTTAATCCTTTACCCACCCAGATATCATCCCTCGTCAACTCCAGACTCCCACAAGGTGTCTTCTAGGTGCCTTCTAGGTTACCATCAAATTCGCTGAGCGAGAAGGACGAGTGAGCCAGCGATAAATGGAGCGTTCATACTGAGGAAAAAGGAATGATGAAGAGACGCGGTTGTTCCGACCCCATAGTATGTACATTTCGACAGAAGTGGTACGGGGCTCCGAAAGCCTCCGGAATCGAGATTCTAAATTCGGGGATCTCGTATATTCAATTGATGCTGTTTATCACTCTATCTACCTCAGGAGCCGCGAAGAGCGGCACCGTTTTTACTCATTGCCACGGAGATGCCGATTCACTGCCACGAGTTCATCTCAGCCGCCCATGTCAATGTCCTTAATACCGAGAGGATGTCCTCCAGCGAAACTCATTAAAATCTGACCAATTGGCAGGGATTCTGCTCCGCGTGCAAAAAGGAGAATGGGTTAAGTGGCGAGCGAAAAGAGAGCGACAATGTTTCCCAACTGCTGGTGCTGATTTAGATACGAAAAACTACATGAGAATAGTCCCGATCCACGAGATCAGCTCCCAACTTTGGCTGGACAGTATTCGAGAACCGCTGGGTTTCGCGCCTCAGTTTTTTTCCTGCGGCCAGTAGAGGTCCGAAACTCCCCAAAAGAAAAGAAAACAGAGGGGAGACACGTGGGGACACCGCATTTCTGACATCGAGAACTTAACGAATTTCCGAACTTTTTCGTCTCGGCGAAAAAGTCTTCCCAGCAAGTCCAGAATCGGCTGACTTGACCGGAATCATGCGGGATTGCGAGATCAGGGTGGGAACTGAGCGCAAGAAATAATGGTTACCGTCCTTTTGACCGAAAACCATCTGACCGAATCCGATCGACCGAAACCGATTGACCGAATCCGATTGATTGGTCGATCGGATTCGGTCAAATGGTTTTCGGTCAAAAGGGAAGTCACCGAAATTTTCCCCCAATGCGAGGGCACGAAGTATGTTCATTTCCGAGCATCACCGATTGGGGGGAGAAATTCATGAAAATCGTCGTAAAAATAAAAAAATCAATTTTATCCTCGCAGGTGCCAGGGTGGCTGGGGGATGCGGAAAATGCGATAATCATGGTTCCCCCGCGACTTTCAGAGTCTTAAGAACATTTTCAAACCCATAACCGATCGAAATTCCGGGATCGATTCCATGGACTTTTGTCCACCTAAAATTCGATTTGGCCCCACTGTGCGTCGTATCAACGGGCGCTCCCAGCATCCGCTTCAGCAACTCAACCAATTTCTCCTTCAGTTTCCCGCGCGACTCTCACACAAGAGGTAGAGGGATCGGTATTTGATCAATTCGACTTATAGTGTCGCCCTGGCGGTCCTCTACTTCTACTCCATGCAGGGACGGATGCTTCGGACTATGCAAATTCTTGAGCATAGTGGGGTGGGGATGACTGAGAATACAGATTTTCCGGAGCCTAAGGCTGTCCCGTCTGATGAGACGCACCTTCTTGCGGGGGGCCCTGCATTCGGAGCTTTCGGTCAGCTTAGCTCCCTATCTCGGATGTCGAGGACCTGGAACGCTCGGTTCTCTTACCGCTCCTCTACATATAACCGAATCGAGGGGGTCCCACACCGATGCCAGGATATCTCGGGAAACTTGTCCACAACGATCGACGATTCTCCTGAGTCTTCATCTACAAGGCTCCTTCCTTCAGTCTGCAGCCGATCATGCTCTC